CCCTCGCCCACTCTTGCCCACCTTCTCTCACCCTCGCCCACTCTTGCCCACATTCGCTCACTCTTGCCCACCTTCGCTCACCTCACCCACTCTTGCCCACCTTCGCTCACTCGCCCACCTCTTGTCCACCTTCGCTCACTCTTGACCACCTTCGCCCACTCTTGCCCACCTTCGCTCACCCTCACCCACTCTTGCCCACCTTCGCCCACTCTTACCCACCTTCGCTCACCCTCGCCCACTCTTACCCACCTTCGCTCACCCTCGCCCACTCTTGCCCACCATCGGTTACCCTCTCTCACCCTCGCCCACTCTTGCCCACCTTCGCTCACTCTTGCCCACCATCGGTTACCCTCTCTCACCCTCGCTCACTCTTGCCCACCTTCTCTCACCCTCGCCCACTCTTGCCCACCTTCGCTCACTCTTGCCCACCTTCGCTCACCCTCGGTTACCCTCTCTCACCCTCGCCCACTCTTGCCCACCTTCTCTCACCCTCGCCCACTCTTGCCCACCTTCGCCCACTCTTGCCCACCCTTGGTTACCCTCTCTCACCCTCGCCCACTCTCGTCTGCACCTGAGCTTCGTCTGCCCTGGCGCCTCGGTCCCCCCCAGGTCGCCCTCGTCGGCTTTCCCTCCGTCAGGGTTTTCTGTGAATTCCGTCTGTTTCTCAGAATCAATGTTAAGCGTTTAATATGTTTGATTAATGTTTTAAACGGCAAAGAGATTCTTATCCGGCACTGGTTGGTAACCGCTCATTTCCGAAATACTCTCCCGGTGTCTGTTTCTTTCCTTTTCCAAAATGAAGGATTTCTTTTGTCCTGTTTGCTAAAGATTAAGAGAATCAATCAACTGTCTTTGTTTGCAAGAATTTCCTTTCCTGGAACTCACGTTATGTTTTTGAATATATATATTTTTTTCTTTTGTAATAGGTCTAACTTCGTTTTCCAAGACGGCAAGTTCCCGCACCTCTCTCGGATCATCGCGCCTGGGAGAATTTTATCAAAGTGCGCAATATATTATCATAATGTGCACGGAGAGAGGCATAAAGTCTAACCCTTCCACATGACACATGTGAGACCGCGGAACGCCTTCTATTATCATATCGCCGCGCTAGTAACTAGTCCTTTAGTATCCGCCGGCCACCGCTGCGAGGAGAACGACCGTCGCGCGTCTCCATCTTGTAAGCCATTCTTCTAGGTCGTCAGCGGAGTGGTAGATATCTCCCCTTCTCCCTCTCGCCCCCTTTTATTTTCTTCCCATCCCTCCTTCCTTCCCTCCTCTCACCTCCCTCTCACAACCTAATCCCTCCCCCTTCCCCCACAGCTGCCATCTCATTTTCCATCCTCCTTCCTCCTCTCCTCTCTGTCTTTTCATACTCCCCATTTCTTCTTTTCTTCTATCATTCTCCTTTCTCCCTCTTCCTTCTACTCTACGTTCCCTTCCCTCCCGTCTCTCCCTCACCCCACGCATCTGAAGCGACCCTCGATGGAGCGCGGAGTCGTCGCACAATGCGGTGACGTATGTGCATTGTCGCGGCGCCGGCCCCCTCTCCATCACGCCCCGACGGCGGTCTGGCCGGACCGAGACCGCCCGCTGCCCGTCCCCGCCGCCCCCGCCGCCCCCCGCCGCGCCTCCCAGTGCCTTACCTGTCTGCCCGCCCGCACGCACACACGCACGCACATACGACGGAGACACGTACGAAGTGGGGGAGAGGAGGGTGGGAGGGGGGAGGGTAGGAGGGCGGAGGAGAACACGAGAGCGAAGAGGATGGAGAAGGGGGAGGGGAGAGCACAGGTCGGAACGGGGGGGGGGGGGGGTAAATATAAATGCAGAACTAGCAAAAGTGGAGAAGGAAGAAGAGGCAAATAAATCGAGTGTCTGGGAGAAAGATTAGGAAAAGAACGAAATAATAGACCAAGACCAAGAAGAGAGAACACTAACAAAAGAGTTGAGTTATTAAGCGAAGGAAGTGATATAGTAACAATGATGCCAATGATAAGATAATAAAATAATCTGTGATAATTATAGTAATACTAAAATTGATAATAAATTATTCTTATCATAATGATAACTATGATGATAATGCAAGTAATGATAATCGTGAAAATGAAAATGATAGTAATGATAATGATGATGATAAGAGTAACACGACTAATACTACTGCTAATGCTAGCAATAATATGATTATAAAAATGATGGTTGTAATCATGATTGTGATAACGATATTATCAACAATAAGGAAAATAAGGATAACAATGCTAATAATGATACTGATAATCATAATGATGTTAGAGATAATCCTAAAGGCAATAATAAAATGATTATGAAAATAAGGATAATCACAAAAATAATAATGGTAACAACAATGATAATGATGATGATGATGATAATAAAGATAAAAAAAATAAGATGTTATTAAAATATGGCTTTGGTGATAATAACAACAATGACAATTATAATAGTAATGGTAATAATGATAACCAGAACAATAATAATAATAAGG